TCGACGAAGTTCCTGTACGCTTTATAGGCCTCGTGGATGCACGTCGCTGCAGACTCCTGTCATATAAAGCCTAGAATGTGTTTCTAGAATTCCTGCTTAGTTTCGAATGCACTAAACAGGAAAAAACCGATCCATAAATAAGTATCTGAGCGACAATGGATTATAGACAGTCACCGTCAATCCCCTTCCAAAATGGATTACAAAGACATTAATCCAATCGCACAGTACTGGTATAAATATGTGATACAGAGTTCAGGATGGAACCGGAAAGCTGTGCAGCTGTTAGGGAGGGTGGAACTTCGAAAATTCAAACGGAGATGAAGCGTCGTTGCCCGGCAGACAACGGCTTAGTTCGAACCTAATCGATGGGCTGGTGTATTTCTTCTTGATCCCTTTTTCGACTGAGAATAACAAGCTTGGACAGACACACCTCAAGAGTTTGCTACGTAGAAGCTGTGTGAAAGTTTCACAAATTGTCTCTTTTACTAGTGCTATTTTGTTCCCAAATCGGTTGTAAGGGAGACATGATGACGGGGAGAGGGTGTGCTGTGCATGGTTAGAGTTGGTCAACTGAAGTAAGTAGTTTATATGGCATTTTACATGTGTGCATCCTTGTTTTGATTATAACTAGGTTGTCCCATAGTATCGATATCTACTTTTCCGCTGTCTCGCATGAACGCCACGGACATCAAAAATATTTTCGGTTCACTGAGTTATTCAATATGAATTATTTATTTCCATCGAATTTCGGATGAAGCTGTTCAATATTTGGGAATATTGGGATCTCTGAGTATCTCCCCACCGTTGCTAAAATGTCAGCGGAAGTAAACTGTACCTAGACTTTGACCGCTACAGCCATACAGGCATCAACGTCTTCATGAATCATGATTCGCATTGTGGGATCCTCAACTTGGGGTTCGTCGCCTATTCTCTCCATGGATTTGTTTGTGTTTATCCGAAAGACGTCAGCTCGGTTTGGATGATGTGCTTAACTTCTTTAAAAATAAAATGATGCCGGCTGAGTCCTGACTTCCACTACGTGGCCGGGACGCACCAGGTTTGAAAACGCCGGTTTCATAAGCGTCAAACCAGTTTCAGCACGCATATATAATGAATAAATAATATACACTCCTATACTGTCTCATAATGTCATTTTCTCATCTCAGAAAGTTTCTGAATATATTGATTAATTTCTAGCTCAGTAGAGGTATTTATTTAAGGCCCGGGTTAGTGTCAGTCAGTCTCACATCTCCAGGGATAGTATATTGTCCCTTTTAATTTAAATATATACCTTCCAGGTATATAACATTAATGTTCCACAGCTATTATATCACTCGGCTATATATTAAAATTATAAGGGACAACATGTTGGACTGGGTGAAGATAACGGTGCAAGTGCGCCAGGGCTGCTATCACACCAGTGTGCTCAAAGGCATTTTTATTATACCGAACGCAAGTGACTGATGCATTCTGTACTTGAGATATAAATTGTTCATATTGTCCACTAGCCATTATATCCATCTTTGTAGTGTAAATACAAAGTGGCAAGACTGGGTAAAAATAACGGTGCGCCGTGGTGGATGAGACTAATGTAGCTAAGGATAACATTAATTGTGCGGCATGAAGACACCTTCTGGTCTTCCCCCGTGAGATATATGTAGCTTAGTATACTAAATAACTACTTATATTATTATTTTGACGCATATTCAATGTGACTATACTGGGTAAAAATAATGGTGTACCGTGGTGAGGTCCGCGGCGCATGGCCCACAGGTGTCCACACCATGCTGCAGCTAAGTGTTTCCTGTCTACTATAGGGGAAAAAATACTGATACACTTTTTGAGAATTTACACTAGATATTAAACATGTAATTAAAGCGGTGAATGAATAATAGTACGCCGAATCAAAAATCGATTAAAATTAAAATTAAAATGCAATTTCGACGATTCCAACCTGGCGCGTCCCGGCCACCGTACCTATAGGCTTATACATCTTCAATAGAATATTTTTCTTGTGCCTTTCTGCTTACCATGAAGTCGTTCGACAGTGAATAGTGGTTATGGGTTATAATCATATAAACACCTTATGTGAAAACAAGTTGCATTAATTGTCACAATGAGTATGCTGCGGCTCAGGCCCGGGGATGCTACAGGGAGGAATATTTGTTTTAGAACTCTCATGGTTCAGCTGCCTATCAGTGTGAAAACAATTTCCTTAGAGAATATATATTCGTTATTATATGTTTGGCAATGAGATCAGATTAAGCTCTATTTATTTCGGTTGCGGATGAGGAGCAAAGAGCGCTTCTGCTGTTTGAAGCAGCTGTGCATTAATATCTTAAGCATCCAGAACATAGAACACTCCCGTGCTAGCATGAGCGTAAAAAAGGGGAAATGATATAGACATTTTTATACACAGAATGACATTGTAAAATACAGGTCATGAGCGAAGATAACTGCGAAGAGTCCAGGTAGCTAAATGCAGTTCCGTGGGTATTATACATTCACGCTTCGTTACAGCTGTGGTGCCATGAGTATGATGATGATGAAATGGAAAGAAAAGAAAAGGTCGACTGGAATGCGAATCTGGTAAGAAAGTCAGTTCAGGAAACATGTCTTTGAAAAGGAAATCACGTACGATGATCAAAGGAGGCCTTTCAAATTTCAGTATGTGTCTTTCCAGCTCTACATCCAAGCACAATCTTCGTACTCCAGCATTCCAGCCTTCGGAAAGAATATTAGCCATGGCTCAGTAAATAATAGTTGTACTCACGTTCTCAAGGAGTGGGGTATCCGTCTTGTCAAGATGGCTATACCTAGCTCGCTTGTATGATGTGCAGCTAGAGCAGATCTAGTAAGACATATGTTAGCTCTCATCTGTAATACCCAAGTGATAAACCTTTCCTTTTGGCTGGAGCTTGTGCAGCTACAGAGGGAACGGAGCATGTTGGTAACAGTTCGAGTGATAATAGAGGGCATGCTGTAAGGGTGTGAATTGAGAAAATTTTGATGTATGGTTCTCGATGTGATGGAAGACACAAGGATTACTGAGGAGAGTAACTGAGAATGAGGTCTGTATTTATACAAAAATCGCATGAGGCCGTCTGCAAGAAAAGCAGCGCCTCTAAGTCCTGGCCAATCGTTGAGCTTGATTGCCGTTCAGTGGCCGATCGCTTGCCTAATCTTCTCCGAGTCCGCTTTCTCCGTCTGCCCGCTGGAGCGCCAGCTATGCATGAACAACGTCTGATTCTTCTTTTCAGGAGTGTGAGGGTGTCTAGCTTCTCGAACATTCCCTTCCGACCCTTTTCAGGTATACTTTTGAGTCAGATATAATTTTCGATTATTCGGAATTATTCCTCAGCTTGTCCTCGTTGGGGAACTAGTGTAATTCTACCTAGTCTCCGTCGGGATATTATCCACTCTTACACTATTTGTCTCTTAATGTTTTAAGTTCCGACGGGGCCTCGTTCAGTTATCTTCAAATCCTCGGTGTACCTGACTATATTGTAGCTATACTTCACTTGAAGTCCTTGTCCAATAGCATCGCTGCATATTCCTGCCGCATGCTTCGAGCCATACTCCCTCATGACAACTATTTTCTGTGAGAGACCTTACTGCCGCTATTCCCATTTGGTCCCGGTTCTCCACTTGATTCTCTGATATCATGTGAATATGATTCCGTTCTTTGTACAACCATTATGCAGGCATACATGCGTTGAAAAGGAGCATATGGATAAAAAGAAAGACTAAACAAATGAATACAAAGATAGACGCAATGCTTTCCTTTTCTGATGCCTCGTGTTTTGAGCATTCTGCATCTCCGGCTTTTCATTCCATTAATACTTATCAGATGCTACTTAGCTCCCTGTATTCGCCTGTATACAAGAATATCGTGCTACTAGTGAAGAATAAATCCTGAAACGCAAATGAGTCAGAGTAGCATGAGGTGAATCGGCGTGGAATGCACACCGCGCTCTTTGCCGGAATGATATCGGTGAGGAATGCCAAGCCAGCTTGGTGGAAAATAAGAAATGAAAATATCTCGAAAGGAAGGGTCGTGCATTGACCAAGTCAAATCTGAAGTTCAGCGGAAAAAGACAACACTTGTAAGATTTGAACTCACGTATGCAAAGCATATTCCCTGAATGCTGTGTAGCAGGCGAACCCGGTAACCACGGCAGCAAAGCGTCACATGTTCAAGTACCATTGAAGGTAATCCTGGGCCTACCTACCCCCTACTCCGAATTATGCATGCTTTATTACAGCGCTTTGCAGTACACAAGGCGCGGTGCGCGCACTCTTACCGCCGGAAAAACTCAAAACAAAAATATCTTTTCAAGGGATTGATGGAGCTGTCTGAAATTTGAGAATGCCTTAGATATAGACTTCAGTTAGGGCATGATAATTTCAAACCGTAAATTATCTCAGTATAAAATAATTCAGAGCTGTTTTGCTTGGGAACAAGCAGTTTCTTATTAGTTTCTTACATGTTGCATACTAGGAGTAATCTAAAGTGTTTCTCATCCATCCTGAGCCTCCATGCTCTCTGATATCTGGTACCCAAGGTTATCTCAAATTTTCAAAGCATTCAGTTGCCTATTTCTTAAGATATTGCTGTTTTCAATTTCCCGGCGGTAAGTGTGAAATGGATTGGCGCCTTGTGTACTGCAAAGCGCTGTAATATCCAATTGTAACTCTTTATTGACACTATTCCCTTTGTAAGTTTGCTGAGATATAATTAAGAAAATTAGCAACTTGGATTCCTCCATCGACAATAGATGTATTATTTTGCATATTCACAGCTATTCCAACAATTGGTGCAGATACCGAGAAGGGAAATTCGACGAGTTTATTGGCCAATACTCTGCACTATCAATGGTCTTTGGAATTGTTCACGAAATATGTATAACAGAGGCCAATAAACAAACTTCAAGTAAGGTTATGATGCAAAAGGATACGTAAACCTTATGCCATTAAGTCGAACCAACTTTAAAAATTAAAGGCTACTGGGAGATTTGAACTCCCGGTCTTCGCATTACAAGTGCGACGCTGTACCCCTTAGCCAAGCAGCCAGTCGGGCAGTGTCGCACGTCTATTCGTAATGGCGGAAGGCGTCACAAATCCACAAATAAAATTAGATATTGCCTCCATTTCCAAAGGCTCTATACAAGCTATAATATAACCGTACAATGTGTAAATCCTCGCATTTCGAATTCTCTACTGTACACGAAGCGACTTAGAGTAAGATACTTCCTGGTATAAATTTAAAGGTATTTCCCCGATGTAATGCTCGCTAGTAAAGGAGTTGAATAAGCTGATTTAGCCACACGACAAGCTTATGGCAGGACTTACTCTCCAAACCCTCCCACAAAGTAAACGCTCTGCAAAGGTGTCATGCAAAATAATAATGACCAAAGCTGTACAAAACTTACTACAGGGTCGAAACGGGCCCAGAAGGACTGAATAAAGGTGGTTATTTAATGAACATGGAAGGAAGAGTTTCGACCTACAATGTGCGCCGACTCAGGATCCTCCGGTAACCACCATTTGGCATCAGGGTGCTCGCTGAGGTAACAATCTTTCAAATCAGGGGATAATTCGGACTCGTGTCTCAACACAGTAACGTTGCCCATGAGCGAAATACGCGGTTGATCAGCTGAAGGACTTGGGTTGTGCCACATAGAGATAGACGCTGTATGTCCTGGAGAAGCCAGGATGTTGCGACTGTGCCTCGAAATGGGTAGGAAGAGCAGAAGTAACGATCCATTTGTAAAACAGCTAAGCGTGTTTCAATCAGTCCTAATACAACTGTTAGTAGATGACATCGCACCTGGCATAATATTCCTGCAATGCAAACGGCATCCCTGGAGATATCTCGTCGTAATTCCCTCATCCGATACGTTCTGAAACCCACCAGCAAGAGTGGGATGATCGCTCGAATAACGAGTCGCCATTGTTCCAATAGATGTTTCGTGTATTAATCTTCGTCCAATTCGCGCTGTAATACGATATCGTGCATGCGTCAGGACACCAAATTTAAAGGTCTTGGATAGCGAATGTTTGACATACCAGCATCATTCACTGTCTCGCGAGCATCAACAGTTCCAGTAGAATATACAATGAATAAAGTTAGAAAGGCGATAAAGAGCATTGTTCTCGTTCAGAGCTTGGACAATTGAGCGATCCTAGGGGTGGGAAGTGATTAGTGAACACCGCAGTCATCGGAAAGGCCGCGTCACGCCTGCCTATTCTAGAGCGTCACACCTGCGCGACCGTGGGGACGCTTCCGCAAACTTCTCTGGCATGATAGAATTTAACTGCTGATTATTACTGAGCTTACGCAGATTTTCGATGAAAGACGTACTTCAACCCCACTGTGGGTAAATTTATTCTATTATACCGGCTCAACAGCCTCAGTGCCATCTATAAAATATATACCTTGGACGTCCTAGCTAGTCTAAACCTTACGAACAATGTAAGGGCCTGGTGGTCTAGAGGTATGATTCCTTCTTAGGGTTTATCTCACTATCTGGAGGAGGTCCCGGGTTCAATTCCCGGCTAGGCCCTTTTTGCTTCTTCTCAAATTGTGATTTCTCCCTGGAGATCAACACGGCAAGGCCAATTTCTAGACATCGGAAGCTTAGACTACTTCGAGACAAAGTAGTCATCTTTAGTACTTAATAAATTGTAAGGATGAATAACAATGTACAGAAAGAAAAATAGACCTTTTTGGCCCGAATTGACCGTAAGCAACGTTCTACAGTTTTGATTTCGCCACCATATCCTATTTATTTTCACAGAGAGAGTTTTTCCTCGTAAGTTATAAAGAGTACCATGCTGATGAATATACGACACAGTAATAATATTTCTAATTATGAGAGATCATACAATGGTCGCCCACTCGATCAAGAACACGGCATGCAACATCCTGCCGGCTATACCAGTAAGGACTATTTCTTGTCCTCTAAATCTTTCTCGTTATCCAAATTTCTGGAAATCATATTGGCGGAATCATCTGAGTCGACCAGTCCAAATGTGCCAAACACGTCTTTATCGTCTATTTCTCTGAGTCCTGGTGGTGGCCATAGAGAGTTAAGGAGAACCCATACTGCTCCACTAATAAAAATTCCGAGAAACCATGACATGTAATATATGTGACTGAAAAAGACACTTCAATAACATCAAGTAGCGGACAGCACCATGTTACGTACGTCCATATTATATTTACTTGCACAGCGGTAGGGGTTATAGAGGCGCAGAAACCAGGCATGCTGGGCCAGACACCCTGTATACACATCTGTTAAATGATGACCATTAAATATATTATGTAAGATCCGCACCAGAACCCAAGCAATGGGAGCTCTCCAGTTGAGACCGTGCCAGAACCTGTTGCCATGGGTAGAAGTAGAGTTATGATGGGGTTGATACATCCAAGATATTTCGCGCACCAATAATCACTTGAAGGGTCTGGGATGAAAAGATATGACAGTTTGATCTGGTGGCGGCGTATAACATAATACTCCGTCTACCATACCAAAGTTATTGTCCACTGCTATGAAAAGGTAATGTATAATGACTGACCAGCATGATGCCGGTGAGAGGTCCTAAAAAGGTAGCAAACCCCGAAAGTGCAGCTATAAAACTGTTTGCCGTCTGTGTAGTGACTTATCCAGTTAATCTCAGGAAAAAAAAAGAGCCATGAGATGACTTACATTGAGAATTTTCCAGGGATTGATGCAGATGCCGATTATAGCAATGATAAAAGAACCCCGTCGGATGTTAATAAAGCTGTACGAAGAGTAGAATCCCATATTCAAAGTGATTTGATAGTTAACGGAAGCTTACCGGGGCAGAAGGGCCGCTAAGTCCATTCCTCCGACGACGCCAAACGCCACTACCTATTGTACGTGTCAACACGGCAATATAAGAGGTATGGTTGGTCACAAACATTGACACAGAGTTGCGACAGGAAAAATGCAAATCCTGCGAAGAAAACAGCGGCTCTGACCCCATTTCCGCCATGAGTCTGTATCGCCTGTAACAGGTCATAGAGCTTCCTATCACATGTAATTTAATTGAAAGAGTGTGTTAGAGAAGGGGAGGACATAATTCACCAAAGCAAAGGTTCTTCGGGATAAATTCCACGTGCGCAGGATGTTGCAACAATCCCCATAATGTTGGAGATGAGTAAAGACACCGGAATGATGAATACCTGACCCCAGATCTGATCTCCTGGAGTGATAGCATATCGTGAAAAGTCTGTACCAGATTGAATATTTCGTGGGCGGCTTCATGGAGCTTCGGTACTCACCACTCTGGAAAAGAATTGAACCGGCCCATCCTCCGATTACGCTGGTTATCATTCGCATCATTGCCCAGCTGAGTGATGACCCAGTCAGTCTTTCAACCCCGTACACCTCTTGTGGATTATCCCATAGTGGTCCAATATCCCCTTGTTTCGCAACCATCCATATAAATACTGCGAAAGTAGCAATAATGACGATTACCGAAATGAAGATGGCAGGAATCCGATATCTTGATTAATTACTAGAGTTAAAAGCTCCCTAGCTTCCTTGCAAACGCAAACTGACTCACTGTTCTGGCTTCAGAAGGAATAATGGCAAGCTTATCATCCAAAAAATGACAAAGGAGACTCAGGATGATCCTCAGGCTCATTTAGTCTTTAAAGCAACGATTGATACTAACTCACTGAATTCATTTGTCTTCATAGCTGTCCCAGTAGCAAATGTATTTTTCATAGTGTAGAAGCTTGCTGAGGTCACGGGGAATTAGAATCTTCCAGCTAAAAAGAACATAAAGGTGACCTTACGCCAGATTGCCCCGATCATAATCTTAACCATCTGCCCGCCATACCACCCCTGGACTCCATACCCACAGCAGGATAATACAATCCTGTTCAGTAAGACAAACCAGGAACCTCGACTGTAATGTGTGGTTGAACATTGATAGGAGTCTTAAAAGCAGGAGATTACAGACATTCCCCATCCTGTCCGATTTATCACAGCCTATGAACAAAGCATAATTAAGTATCCTAACAGAAGGTCATCTCGAATAATCGTACGAATGGTATATGCCACTTTGCTCCTCCGTATCCGCTGATGACCAAAGCTAAACAGAGGCTTTTCTTATGATCAGTAATGGCAAAACATATTCCCTACTGAGTGACTGACATAATTGCGCTAATTGCATTCACTGCATATGTGTCATGGTCCTAATAAACGAGATAAACTAAACAGAACTGCACACCAGCTATAGCTTGCCCGACGGTCAACCCAATTGCCACTGTTAAATAGGCGATATGTTAGTTCACCTGATGAAGGAGAGATAAGACACATGCAGCAGCATTTCCAATCTAAGCATTACTTCCAGTTGGTTGATAAAGAAGTGGAAAACTATCATCGGAGTTTATTCCAAAATAATAGAGCAATGCCTCGTCCAGAAAATGCTCCTTAGGCGTCGCAAGATTATTCTTACGGGCAGTTGATGCATTGGACCATTCACCGGTGCTGATGGCTATCGGATGCGGATAAGGCTTGATAATTAAAAGATCAAATTACTATAAGCGTACCAGTTGACAGCCAGACGAAAATAAAAAATTTCTTAGACCATGTTCTGCGGGAAGGTGGCAAAGGCAAAACATCCTCGTTCTGATATGGCGAGGCATTAGGAGAGATCTGTTTGGAGGTTTGTAAGTGGTTTACAAGGGCATATACGCTATACGCGAGATTCATACCTGTAACAAACTTAAGAGAGAAGGCATTACAGCAAGCTACAGTAATGTCGCTTCGCAACCGCAAATAGCCTTATAAGTACCTACCCGTAACATTACATAAATAGCCATGCTGTGAAGAATTCAATATTCTCCACCAAATTCCATACAGGGTACGAATGACATTGCAAACGAGTGTAGATAAGAAGGCACGCCTGGCTTCCCAGCCAGTTACCAGGATGAGGAAAAAGCCTGTCTTCAGGATCGGAGTGTGCGGAGTTTGAAGGTTCGGCCGGGCCACCCGGCGCGCTTCAATTGCATGTAATGAAGCTTGTCAAGTTA